ATTTCATTTCATTTCATTTCATTTCATTTCATTTCATTTCATTTCATTTCATTTCATTTCATTTCATTTCATTTCATTTCATTTCATTTCATTTCATTTCATTTCATTTCATTTCATTTCATTTCATTTCATTTCATTTCATTTCATTTCATTTCATTTCATTTCATTTCATTTCATTTCATTTCATTTCATTTCATTTCATTTCATTTCATTTCATTTCATTTCATTTCATTTCATTTCATTTCATTTCATTTCATTTCATTTCATTTCATTTCATTTCATTTCATTTCATTTCATTTCATTTCATTTCATTTCATTTCATTTCATTTCATTTCATTTCATTTCATTTCATTTCATTTCATTTCATTTCATTTCATTTCATTTCATTTCATTTCATTTCATTTCATTTCATTTCATTTCATTTCATTTCATTTCATTTCATTTCATTTCATTTCATTTCATTTCATTTCATTTCATTTCATTTCATTTCATTTCATTTCATTTCATTTCATTTCATTTCATTTCATTTCATTTCATTTCATTTCATTTCATTTCATTTCATTTCATTTCATTTCATTTCATTTCATTTCATTTCATTTCATTTCATTTCATTTCATTTCATTTCATTTCATTTCATTTCATTTCATTTCATTTCATTTCATTTCATTTCATTTCATTTCATTTCATTTCATTTCATTTCATTTCATTTCATTTCATTTCATTTCATTTCATTTCATTTCATTTCATTTCATTTCATTTCATTTCATTTCATTTCATTTCATTTCATTTCATTTCATTTCATTTCATTTCATTTCATTTCATTTCATTTCATTTCATTTCATTTCATTTCATTTCATTTCATTTCATTTCATTTCATTTCATTTCATTTCATTTCATTTCATTTCATTTCATTTCATTTCATTTCATTTCATTTCATTTCATTTCATTTCATTTCATTTCATTTCATTTCATTTCATTTCATTTCATTTCATTTCATTTCATTTCATTTCATTTCATTTCATTTCATTTCATTTCATTTCATTTCATTTCATTTCATTTCATTTCATTTCATTTCATTTCATTTCATTTCATTTCATTTCATTTCATTTCATTTCATTTCATTTCATTTCATTTCATTTCATTTCATTTCATTTCATTTCATTTCATTTCATTTCATTTCATTTCATTTCATTTCATTTCATTTCATTTCATTTCATTTCATTTCATTTCATTTCATTTCATTTCATTTCATTTCATTTCATTTCATTTCATTCATTTCATTTCATTTCATTTCATTTCATTTCATTTCATTTCATTTCATTTCATTTCATTTCATTTCATTTCATTTCATTTCATTTCATTTCATTTCATTTCATTTCATTTCATTTCATTTCATTTCATTTCATTTCATTTCATTTCATTTCATTTCATTTCATTTCATTTCATTTCATTTCATTTCATTTCATTTCATTTCATTTCATTTCATTTCATTTCATTTCATTTCATTTCATTTCATTTCATTTCATTTCATTTCATTTCATTTCATTTCATTTCATTTCATTTCATTTCATTTCATTTCATTTCATTTCATTTCATTTCATTTCATTTCATTTCATTTCATTTCATTTCATTTCATTTCATTTCATTTCATTTCATTTCATTTCATTTCATTTCATTTCATTTCATTTCATTTCATTTCATTTCATTTCATTTCATTTCATTTCATTTCATTTCATTTCATTTCATTTCATTTCATTTCATTTCATTTCATTTCATTTCATTTCATTTCATTTCATTTCATTTCATTTCATTTCATTTCATTTCATTTCATTTCATTTCATTTCATTTCATTTCATTTCATTTCATTTCATTTCATTTCATTTCATTTCATTTCATTTCATTTCATTTCATTTCATTTCATTTCATTTCATTTCATTTCATTTCATTTCATTTCATTCATTTCATTTCATTTCATTTCATTTCATTTCATTTCATTTCATTTCATTTCATTTCATTTCATTTCATTTCATTTCATTTCATTTCATTTCATTTCATTTCATTTCATTTCATTTCATTTCATTTCATTTCATTTCATTTCATTTCATTTCATTTCATTTCATTTCATTTCATTTCATTTCATTTCATTTCATTTCATTTCATTTCATTTCATTTCATTTCATTTCATTTCATTTCATTTCATTTCATTTCATTTCATTTCATTTCATTTCATTTCATTTCATTTCATTTCATTTCATTTCATTTCATTTCATTTCATTTCATTTCATTTCATTTCATTTCATTTCATTTCATTTCATTTCATTTCATTTCATTTCATTTCATTTCATTTCATTTCATTTCATTTCATTTCATTTCATTTCATTTCATTTCATTTCATTTCATTTCATTTCATTTCATTTCATTTCATTTCATTTCATTTCATTTCATTTCATTTCATTTCATTTCATTTCATTTCATTTCATTTCATTTCATTTCATTTCATTTCATTTCATTTCATTTCATTTCATTTCATTTCATTTCATTTCATTTCATTTCATTTCATTTCATTTCATTTCATTTCATTTCATTTCATTTCATTTCATTTCATTTCATTTCATTTCATTTCATTTCATTTCATTTCATTTCATTTCATTTCATTTCATTTCATTTCATTTCATTTCATTTCATTTCATTTCATTTCATTTCATTTCATTTCATTTCATTTCATTTCATTTCATTTCATTTCATTTCATTTCATTTCATTTCATTTCATTTCATTTCATTTCATTTCATTTCATTTCATTTCATTTCATTTCATTTCATTTCATTTCATTTCATTTCATTTCATTTCATTTCATTTCATTTCATTTCATTTCATTTCATTTCATTTCATTTCATTTCATTTCATTTCATTTCATTTCATTTCATTTCATTTCATTTCATTTCATTTCATTTCATTTCATTTCATTTCATTTCATTTCATTTCATTTCATTTCATTTCATTTCATTTCATTTCATTTCATTTCATTTCATTTCATTTCATTTCATTTCATTTCATTTCATTTCATTTCATTTCATTTCATTTCATTTCATTTCATTTCATTTCATTTCATTTCAGTCCCGTTCAAAGCTGCCCTGTTTGCTTTGTTCAAATCTGCCCCACGGTCACTTGGAAAATAAAATATTACAAATAACGCGCCCGCGGCTAACTTCATTATGTTAAAATTTTGTGTTACAGTGATGAAAATTTCACTCTCATAATTTTTTCATAACGCGGCTAAAGAAGTATAACTTCAAAAATATCTGCCCTAAGTTTTTGCATGAAAAAAGCAACTTTTTTTTTCAACATTTATAAAAAAATCAGTTGTTTTTTTTAATTTTTCATCACTAGTTTTAATTTTTTTGTTATCTTAGTGTTTCTTCTAGGGTGTCAAGCTAGTGCGAGCTGCTAGCGGAGTACCATAACTATCAATTTAACCCCCATGTTCTAAAATTTTTCGTAGTTTTCAAGTTAGAATTTTTTTCGTCATTTCTTACGATTCAACAATGAGACAACTTGGATAATAACTTTGTTTTGGGTCGACTTTTCTTCGATTTTTTTACAGAATACCTATTGTTTGTAGTTTTATAAGTAAAATAATCTCCTTCCTTATTTTACCTTCTACCTAAGATATAAAAATTTTGATCGATACTAAATAAAAATAGAATAAGTAAAACAGAATGGATTTTCAATTAAAATAAAATAAAAATAGATGTTCCATAACTTATGACTAATTTTAAAAACTGCCCGACTTCATAAGCTTTCATAAAAATACAAAAAAAGATATACTAAATACAACATTATTTGCTGAAATCTGTCGTTGGAAGTGTTATATCAGAATTCGTGTATTTTTAATATTTTAAAATTTCGTAGTATCTTTGCATATTTTGTCAATCTTAAGTTTTATTATTCTTTTTAGTTTAAGTGGAGCTCATTACAAAATAAAAATAATCATTTTATGACAACTAATCACTCGAAACTCCTATTAACCACTTAGTGGTTAATAATCCACCATTATTAGACACTAACATTCATAACGCGCCCGCGGCCAACTTCATGCTGTTACTTTTGGGTTACAGTGATGCGCGCGCATCTAAAAATTTCACTCTCATCATTTTTTCATAACGCGCCTAAAAAAGTATAACTTCAAACAATAATAAAACTTAAGATTGACAAAATATGCAAAGATACTACAAAATTATAAAATTACACGATTTCCGATACACTTTCAACGTCAGATTTCAGCAAACAATGCCCAATTTAGTATATTTTTTTTGTATTTTATGAAAGCTTATGAAGTCGGGCAGTTTTTAAAATCAGTCAGAAGTTATGGAACATCATTTTTTTTTAATTGAAAATCCATTCTGTTTTACTTAATCCATTTCGATTTAGTATCGATCAAAATTTTTATATCTTATGTTATGGTAAGGAAGGACATTATTTTACTATATAACTACAAACAATAGGCATTCTGTTAAAAAATAATCGAAGAAAAATCGACCCAAAAAAAAGTTATACTTTATCCAAGTTGTCTCATCGTTGAATCGTAAAAAATGACGAAAATAATTCTAACTCGAAAACTACGAAAAATCGTAGAACATACATGAGGGTTAAATTGATATGTATGTTACTCCGCTATCAGCTCGCACTGGCTTGACACCCTCAAAGAAACACCCTGTATATACCTCAAACCGCATTACTACCGCACGAATGTTTGATATTTATAAAAGTACCCCATTTGTCATTGTATTGACTGCAACAGTCAATACAATAACAAATCGAATACCTTTGAAGAAGTGGAGCTGTCGTACAGCCTAATATACTAGAAAAAGATCTATACGCCCATCATAAGGTCACGGTAACATACTGGTTAGTGCATTCACCCGGATAGCGAAAGGTGCAGGTTCGGTACCATCCAGCCTGATCAAGGTATCAGGACCGTCTGGAATTTTATATATACCTCCATGGGGTACTGGATCACGGTAGGCAACGGCGCGAATGATATTTTTGGTATCGCAAGCGTCACAAAGGTTATAGTGGACGCTTACCATCCCACTAATGCTTGTTTGCCACCTTTTTAACATAAAAAACCTGATTTTTACTTACAGGCATCCACTCAGTGCCGTCAGTGATCTACCCAGCTGGACAGACGTTCACGAACCGGCTAGCTGCTGCCGGCATGTACCGAAACTACAGTCTCAACACGGGCATGGACCCGGTTGGCTATTAGTTAAAACTTTATTAGATGAAGTAGAAGCTGCCTATTTCAACTCTCGGAGGCAGCGCCGGCCCACAGAGCTACCCCACTAAAGTCCCCATTTTTGTTTAAAATCGAATTCGTCCTAGTTTGCTGCGTGCAGGTAGGGTATGCCGTGTTTTGATTGGACAACGACGTTTGGCCAGTCACACGCTTATGCAGTATTGCTACTTAAGCTTGGTACAAACAGGTGCCCTTAATATGCAGTTTTTAATGGGGGTGTTTCGTAGCCGGTGGCCCTTGACATTAGTAGAGCGAGATTGAAGGTTTATTTTTCTAAGGAAATATTTTCTTTTTGTATTTAGCCTTAAGGAAACCGCCCTTCTCGCTTTACTCCAGGGCTGGGCCTACTGGGTGTAGTAGCTTGTGAGCCGGTTCTTTTTTAACATTTACCTGTTTTTTTTTTAAAAAGTCTTAATAACTATGAATTGAGTTATTTGCTGACGTGATTATTGTGCCACTAGTGCTATTCTGATTATCACCCGCGGATCCACTGCTGGTAGGTAAATCCTCACAAAGCTTTTTGGCGGTTTTTGATTAATATACCTCCTACGGGTCGGATTAGGTTTTGTTGCATTATATTATTATACTTCTCGTTGTTATTGAGACTAATGAAGCCTCAAAACCCAGTTTTCCAAAAATCTAAACTCAGTTATCCAATTTAGATAATTTTCTCAAATATCTGTAAAGTATGTGTAATGATTATGATTATTATGTTTATAAACAAACATTGACGTAAAATCTCTTTTTAAGTTTTTGTGTAATATTTTTATTTTGTTTATTTTCTGTTTAAAGCTTATGCCACTTATATTTTGTATTAATGTTATTTCATTACTAACTTGACTAACGGTTTTATACGGGTAAACATATATAAAATTTGTATAATACGTTTTTAGTTAGTTCTTTAAAGGACAATGGGCAAAACGCACCCAGCTCCGCCAACAATGTAATTAGTATGAATCGATAGATCTATGAAAAACTAGCCTTTTTTATTATGGCACCAAAAAAAATAACCTGGGGGTCAAAAGATATAACACCTGGGTATGTTCTATATTAGGGGTTAAGGTTTCCGCACATAGTCCTTATAGACGACCTTTGTGTGTAAGTCATGGGGACCGGTTACACACGGGCATATTTAAATAGCTCCTTATAGAGAAGCTCGATGGCGCAGGTGGTTAGCGCGTTCGGTTGCGATCGTTGAAGTTAAGCAACTTCCGCAGTGGTCGGTCATTGGATGGGTGACCAAAAACATCTATCTCGAGTTCTTCCGTGCTTCGGAAGGCACGTTAAGCCGTTGGTCCCGGCTGCATCTGCAGTCGTTAGCACCCGCCAATCCGCACTGGGCCCGCGTGGTGGGTCATGGCCCAATCTCCCTATTTCATCCATAGGGAAGGCCTGTGCCCCAGCAGTGGGGACATTAATAGGCTGATGATGATGATATTTAAATAGCTAAAGAAATTCATTCAATATCAATAGTACTTTCGTTTTATAATATTAGCAATAATAAGTGAGTGAATCATATCTTACTGTACAACAAGATACAAAATACTAAACAACAAAGCCTACCGACTATCCTGCTTGCTTGCTGCTTGCACTTACTGAGACTCCTCAAAACCATTTCAGATCAATTTAAATGCTCGTACTCAGCACACAAACATCTGCCTCCACCAGGATTCGAACCCGGGACCTCTCGAGCCAGGGACACCATGAAACCCGGCGTACAAACCACTCGACTCGGATATATTAATTGACGACCTCCGTGGTCGTCAATTAATATATCCGTTCTATATACTCGTCCTTGTATCTTTGAATATTATGTTCGTTATAGTTACTTTTACCTATGGAATTGTACCTATTAAACTTAAAATAACTAAAGACTCCCAGGATGGAATCTGATGCGCTTTGGCACAAATGATCATGACTATGATACCTTTCAAACAAATGTAGTTTAACCGTGGCGGACGTGGGTGCAGTGTCCATACAATTTTGCCCATTGTCCTTTTGATAAGACGTAGATTAAAATATTTTGCTTAGGCATTTTAATATTATCATATTAAAGGAGATTGCTCAAATTGGCCCAAACGCACAAAAAATATTGACATACACGGTAATTCTTGGAATAATTTATAATTTAATTTACAGTCATTAGATTTCAACGGACACCTTTGTATAATATATTGACTTTAAAAAGGACTTTTAATTTTACCGGTTTGGAAAACATACGTATCATTTTTAATGGCTATGGGTGTAGTAACATTCAGCCAAAGACTGATCGAAGTTGTTTATATAACATCAAAACAAATCTATTTTGTAAAGATCGATAAAATAAATCATTTTTTTTATTACACTATGGTAATAATATCCACAACTATATTATCATTTTCACTTCATGCAAATGTGCTCAGACAATTATTATAGATGGTAAGCGACATCATAAAGTCTATTGCCATACATTTTTCGCCAAACACCTCCATAAACACATTACAATCTGTATATATGTTAGACTTTAAGGTATCTATCTATGGGCCTACATTGCCTGACTATAAATTAATAAATAAATAAAATTATAAGGTGTGATACACTAAAAATCTAAAATATGGTTATATTAAAATCAAAACAAAAATAATGAAGCTACTGAATATATGGCTATATAACTTAAATCTCTTAGCTTTCTTTGGTTAACGAGAGTTTAAAAATTCTCTCTAATCTGTGGCTGTGTGGCTGTCACAGACCTTATTATAACCGGAAATGCATAGATGACACCTGATTTTATTAGTTACTCTTATGCATTAACTTTAAAAAATAGGCAACTATCTGTTAATCTTCATGCTCTATATACCTGAATCTAATCCATAATTTCGGTATTTGGCTTGATTTCTCGAGTTTACTATATAACTTATTTGTTTTTTATTATTTTAATATGTTCAGTGTATATGGTTTATAGAAGTTCTCAGGGGTGTCCGTCAATAATATTCGTTTCTACAGTAATTTATATATAATTTCGAATCTAGGAAACAATTTTTCATGATTATTGGTCTTTAGGCCAAACATGTATGGAAGCTGAGCAATCTCCTTTAAATGTTTATGACAAAAGAAATGTGTCAAACATATATCATAATCTAAATATATCCTTTTGTGTTTATCATAATTGTTTAATTGTATTTCATAATCGTTTCGGATCGGCACCACTCAAAATATTCAGTGGTGGGTGGTGCCGATTCGTTAAGTGAACGAACACCTGATTGTCTTTATTGAAGATTTCTTATTTGTCTTTTTTCGAATATATAATTTAGGAAATCCAAATAAGAAATGAAACAAAGTAACCGTCAATATCGGTATGTATATTGACTTACCAAAAGAGGTATTCATTATATAATTATTATATAGATTAACATGCATTCAAATTCCATTAACATATTCCATTCGAACGAAGACATGATAGTCACATGGTTAATTATTGCTAAACACGTGTACATGCGATTTTTCTTTAAATTTTCTTGTTTACAAGTAAATAAAATTGTAAATACCTTAAATACGGAATTGGGTTCTCAAAAAGAGTATTTATTCAAAAGAGCCAATTTGTGTTGTTAAACAATTATTTTAATGCTATTTTATGCAGATGGTAATTATATTCCTTAGGGCAGTGGTGGGCAAACTTATTCCGCCAGGGGCGGAAATAAAATTACTTTTTCTTTATGTTAGCGGTCAGGATGTCAAAATTTAATTCCAAACTCCTTAATCTGTACTCACTTGTTTAACATTATTATATTTTTATTTTAAAATTTTTACTGCTAGATGTTTTCAATCTAAAGAAAATATTACTAGTAAGAAAAAAAAATTGTTTTATTTTAGTTGTTGGCGAACCTGATGTTGACGTTTGCCCACCACTACGAGTTTGTAAACGAAAGTATTTAACGAAAAATTAAAATTCAATTCTACTCATCAAATACATACTAACAACTAGATAATACTTACTACAAAATGTGACTGACCATTTCTTCATTAGATTTAATCTCGATAAATATTTTAGGGGCATCAAATTGGCTGGAACTGATTCCAATGCCCACCAATACTAATTAAACTTTTACCATGACCTCTGCGAAAACGCTAATCTTTAATTCCATATGAGTATATATCGTAATAACTCGTTAGCAACAACAACAACAGCATTTATATTAACTTTAGTGTTTATTATTCTTATTTTAACAGGAATTAACAAAGACAGAATTATCTTATACGACAAATCAATAAAAAATATTCTGATCACTTAACAAGGAACAAAATTGTAACTAATCATGTATTAATTTATACTATATAATAAATAATATTTAAATATAATTTATGCATATATATAGTTATTCATCTAATTGCGCATTTTATAGACACTTAAGTATAATTAATTTATTAGTTACACGTCATATCGTGGCTGTTTTTAAGTACTGAGATTCCGTGACAATCTACCTACAAGTGCAATATTATGAATTTATTCTAAACGTACCGTTAATGTCTAGTTTATTGGAGGTATGTATGACGCAATGTATATTGTAAACATAATTTTTGAGACACGATTTTAAACAAAAATAAGATAGGTATAATACAAATAATGACGTTTTATATTTTCATCCACCTTAAAGTAGGTATCTATTGAGTTGTAACTTACGTTATTTTTATATAAGTATAGCTATTTTCGTTGTAAAATCTACTATAACAAGTGAACTTTGTATTATATAACCAGTAATATAACATGGCGTAAAAAAATCTTAACGATAAAGGTAAGTAAGTAGGTGTAAGTAGTAATTTGTCGCTATTTTGCGCATATACATACATATATCATCTACACCATAGAGCAATCTACGTATGATACGAATCAGCTAAAGAACAGTTTATTATGTTAGTTTTATCATTAAATTTTCTAAATAGATATGAAAGCACAATGCACTGTGATGTGATGTTTAACATAACACCGGCTCTCTGATATGACACTTGTCAGACTTAAGCTCACACGAATATTCATTCCATCAGTCATACGATATAAAGGCATTTAATTAATATATTGTCAACGAAAATTACATTTAAAGCGATGAGTCATTTTGTAACATATTCGATCATATTTGCGTTAAAGTGCATTTTTATGGCGTTTGGTTTCAGCTATCTATAGAGTAACACGAAGGGAGTAGCCATAGTGACCCATTACTATTACAGTCATTTTATCATTTTTTATGGGGGGGGGGGGGGGATATGCACATAAATGCAGTTTAACGTACAGGCGTAAAAAACAAAACTAATAACGACTAACGACACACACACATAAACAATGATACAACACTCCGCCAAATCGCAAATCCTACACACATATATCGTTTGTATGCCCAATCCGGCAGAGGAGAATGCTGCGTATGCCTACTCCCCTCCTGTCCGCGTCGGTCGTTTTGCTCTATGCCGCTACCTGTACCCTTAGTACGAGTTTTACAATTACGAAAACTATGATAGTATTCATGTGCTCGCCTCGTACTAAGGGTACTGATGTTATTGTTTTCGTTTCAATACAAATAAACAGTGTTTAAATTCTATCATTAAATCATATGCGTCTTCTTAAATTTTAAGTATATTTGGTTACTTTTCACCAAAATGGACATAAAAACATAATTTACAATTACGAAAACTATGATAGTTTTCGTGAGCTCAAAGGGTAAGTACTAAGGGTACTGATGGAATACGTAGAGTAAGTACTACGGGAATACCACAGGCACTGTATTTTAAGCTTACGTTAACGCGATCCTGATAAAATATCACACTCGACATAAAGCATTAAGAGTTCTTTTTTGTTTTCTAACCCAAACCCTCGATGTACGGACATACATGACGATGACACATCCACAAAGCAATCAATGCTGCAAATAAATGAAAATGATTGTAATTATACAAGTTTAGTTAAATATAAATGTGTAACAGGAGTTCCTTAAATCTACGAGATACAACTAGTAAATAATGTGCATGAATTCTTGCATTTAACAATATTGTCTTAGCATTGCTCACATTCCGTTAATTGCCAGCAATGTATGGTTATGAGGGCATGTTGTTTTTATAAGTAGAAAAATAATATTGTGACGTTTTATTTAATACCTTATTTTTATTATAATAGTATTTCTCTTCGAAAAAAAAAATAGTTCCTCCCCATTGCTGGATTCAGTGGTAATTAGTTTAGTGACGTACAATAAACACAATATCGTACTATGGCATTATAACTAATAATTTTTCTTCATATTTGCGTTCATAGTAGGAAGTCTGTAAAATTACTCCTTAAATAATATTACTACTTTAAGATGCTGTTAGAGGTATGTCACGTGCATTTCTACAAATCCCTTTTTCATTTGGTAAATAATTAAAATAGTGAGCCGTTAACTAAAAAAAATGCTTGTTTTCTGTATTGCCCAAAGTAGTTCTGATCCGAACATTGATTGAAAAAATTTAGTCGCTTTTCTTGTCAAAAAAAACATAAAGAGTAATCTTTATGTTTGCCTAAGTGCTGTGAAAATTGAAGGACATAGTGATAGCAGAGACACTACGCACGACGCCCCGCGCCGCGTCCAACGGGTTCAATCACAATGCAGCTCAGTTGATTCGTATTTTCATATTTATAATAAACTTATTGTAAAAAATCTATAGTTATTTTACATTAAAACTAATGTTACATTTCTGCTGTTCACGCGGTCTTCGCGTTTCGCACGCTCGGTTCGAGGGTGGTCCCTACTGAAAGACAATTGCTTTCTTTGTTAGGTACCTGTATCTGTTTAATAATTTTTAGGTTTATAATGGTTACATATTTTGAAGAAAATTTTTAACCAATAGATAGTTGAACTTCTAAAATATCGAAAGATCCTGTTTGACTTGAGCAATAAACGATTCAGGTGAAGATTTTAACGTTTTATATAAAATCTGTATTCAAAACATTAAGTTGTAGGTCAATAGTAATTCGGTGATGTTAATACGATTTTAACAACACTATAAAATTTTGATGAGGAAGAGATAAGAGATTGTAAATTTGATTCACATAGAACCAGAAAATTTATTGAGTTGGTTCAGATTTCTTTGAACGGAAAATCTTCAGTGTTTCTTTGTACACACACGCCTCCCCCGGATCGTTATCGCTTTTACATATCTCCGAAGATGCCAGCGAAGGTCTTCCTTAGGTTCTTCATGGTGTCCTCAGCGTCCTCCGTGAGCGTGGCGCTGAGGGAGCCCTGGCGCGCGAAGCCCCCGCGCCCGGCGGCGGAGCCCGAGGGCGGCCCGCCCGCAGCCGCCGCGCTGCTCGCCGTGCTGGGTGCCGCTGACGCTGACGATACGGTCGACGATTGCGATGCTGCTGAAATTAATTTGGCTATTTCACAGATTCGACGATAAAATAACAAATGAACCTTCATGGTATGCTTAGCGCCTTGCCCGCCCCAGCTTTTGGACTGCAACATTGATCCCAATCAAAGTTGCAGTCGCAATGTTAATAAAGTGCGATTCAAACTTAATGGTGGCTGTGAAGTTAGCGCAAGTTGCGGTGCAGGAAACAAAATGCGGGATGATGTAGGTGAGCTCGCAATGCTACTGAAAAGGCGCAATGATGCTTACTTATTTCACAACCGCCATAAAGTCTTCATCAAAGGCCGACTCCGGCAGCGGTATCGTCCATTCCTCGACCCGTCTTATACTCTATAATGTTACCTTGATAGTCACGCCTAGTAAGTGGCGGCGGCTGTCGCTGCGCAGGTCCGTCAGGTATCGGTGGCAGCGGCATCGTCTGCTCCTATTCCCGTCCACTCTGGGGGATCGACATTGTTTTCTGACAGCTAATGCACAATATTGGTATAAGTACCTTGACAGTCGTGCCTAGTGAGCGGCGGAGGCGGTGCGGTCGATGCTGACGGCGGAGGCGAGCGGTATCGTCCGCTCCTCGGGCCTCCCACTGGGGGGGCTAGACATTGTAGTTAAACAATTAGTACACAATAATGTCACCTTGAGAGTCGCGCCTAGTGAGCGGCGGTGGCGGCGGTTGCGCGGGCTCGGCAGGTATCGGCGGCAGGGGCCGGTCGATGCTGGCGGCGGAGGCAAGCGGCGCGGGCGGCGGCGCGCTGGGCGGTCCGCCCGCGCCCGGTAGCGGCATCGTCCGCTCTTCGGGCGACGCTGCCGCCGAGCTGCCAGATACGGACGCTCTGGATGTCGTCTTCGTCAGGCCCGGTCGACAGACAGCCTGAAACAAATCGTCATCAACCAATCAATGTCCCCAATGCATGCTGGCACACAGAATAAATAAAACGCAGAATAAATATCTTTTTCATCAACTGTATTGTATTGAAGGAAGATGCAATCAGAAAATGAAATCTGACATCATACTGAACTCCTAGAATTCAATAATAATGTGTCATTGTTAAATGATGAAATGATTCATAATAAATTAACATCAGCCGCATCTTTACTAACGTATTGTATGCCATGACTATGTCATGTCAGAATCAGAATCAGAAATTATTTATTCAACGTAATCCTTTACAAGCACTTATTGACGTCATCTATACAAAATATAATTTCAAAATGATAAAAGTTAACAATGTATATGAGGTAGGTACCCATATTAATGCATCCATTATAAGTGCATTGCTAGCGCAGAGTTAATCTAATTCCATGTACATTTGTCTGTTACATAATCCTCGACTTTGTAATAGGCCTAACTAATTACTTTTTTAATAAACATAGTTTTTAAACTTAGTGTCTGGTCGTAGTCATCAGGTATTTGTTATAAAAGGTAAAACTTCGGTCTAGAAAAGATTTGCTGCTTTTACTGATCTTGAATTTAGGGACCAATAATTTATTTTTATTCCTCTAGAAATTCTAATTCAAGTCCATGAACTTGACGCTTTTTTATAAAGAGATGTTGATTTTTTCGTACAAACATAATGTTTGTAAAAATAATTAAGGAAGATAACGCTAGTATCTATATTCTTGATTTTTTCTCTTAAGGAATCGCGTGGTTTCATTTTACAGATGATTCTCACTACGCATTTTTGAAGAACAAATATCTTATTAATTTTCGCTGCTGATCCCCAAAGTAGAATATCATATGCCATCAAACTATGAAAATAGACGAAGTATACCAATCTTGCAGTAGCTTCGTCTAGCTTTTTCTAATGCTTTTAACTGCAAATGCAGCTAAGCTGTTTAGCGAGGCCCTTAATATGAAACCCCACTGCAATTAAGAATCTGGTTGTATTCCCGAAAATGTAGTTTGAAAATATCTATTTTCCATCTATTTTCTTCTAATCTTATATACATTGTTTTTTTAGCATTAAAGGAGAGATTATCTAAATCAAACCAATTTTTGAAGTTATACTTCTTTAGGCGCGTTATGAAAAAAATGATGAGAGTGAAATTTTAAGATGCGCGCGCATCACTGTAACACAAAATTTTAACAGCATGAAGTTGGTCGCTTTAGCGACCAACTTCATGCGTTACTTTTGTGTTTACCGCACATTAAGAAAATCTACCAACAAAATAGAAATAGAATCTCTATTTAGTGGGTGCTAACGACTGCATTGTGAAGGCCTATCAAAAGTATTTATTAATCTGGAACAACGGAACCAAAGCGCGATTCAGGAGACTACAGCGCCATCTCTTGACCATTGGTGTAGTAGAACCAAAAACCACATCTTTATTTTTTGTAATAAAGTAACAGTTATAGGTATTCATATTTATAATATTTATCCACATGTTTCTAGTTTGTATATTCGGAACACGTGTTTGAGTTTCATACAAGTGCAAATCACAGTTCTAATAAATTATATTCAGTAGCGATTTTAATTGAATATTTTGATTATTTATTTGTTTTTTCAAATTATAACTGAACTTTATTGACTGTGTCCTTTTCAAGACTTTTTATTAATTTATTGTAATTAATTATTTGCATGCAATTAAAAACTAATTTTAAACGATGGCAAAGAAGGATAACTTCTCACGCGCCTACATAAGTACACGCACCCATTTTTTTACTTTAATCAAGGAGTCATTTATAAATTTTTCATTAGATTTAAGGTTTTTCCTAACGTAGGGTCATCGGCAAATAATGTCATTTCAGTAATTTCTTTTACCATAAGTGGAAGATCATTTTTAAATATTAGAAAGAACAAAGGTCCAAGAATAGGACCTTGGGGCACACCTAACTTTATTCTGCAGGAAAGGTAAGTAGATCAAGGTCAGCTTTATGGAAACCATAATGATGTAATTTACGGAGCAGTGTACATTGATTTACATAATCAAAAGCCTTTGAGACATCACAAGAAATACCTACTGTATCCCGTGATTTCTTCCAGGCTTCAAAATATTTCTCATTAGTTGAGCTACCGCGTCTGTTGTTTATCGGTCTTTCGTGAAACCAAATTGATTCTTGTTAAAAATACCATTAATTGTAAAATGTACCTCCAGAAACATAAATGTAAAAAAGAAGAGCCAAGTTCAATACAAAAATTATGCTTGGCTATGGGCTTCGCCGCATAAAGAATGGAGGTCTAAATGAGTGCCAAGTTCTATGCAAAATCCAAATATGTATTTATAGGAACAAAATAACATTATGAAAAAGTATTAAACTTTATTTCTTTGCTTTATTGGACACCTATAACAATTGCTGTTATTTAAAAATGTGAGATCTTAAAGCCAAGGCCAAGTCATATCTAACCTACTTTAAGTTCTCACATTTTTAAATAATAGCAATTGTTATAGGTATCCAATAAAGCAAAGAAAAATTTCAAAGAAATACTATTTCCACAAAAATTTAACAACTTGCATATTTTTATTAAAATCTGAAGAATATACTGCATTGATTGTTTTATTGATGCTCCCGGTAAACAATTATTTGTCACAGGGCCTCTTAAGTTATTGTTTAACATTATACCCTTTACGTCGTCTGTAAACAATAGAGTTTATGGTGCCAAGGTATTTGTCCTTAAACACTGCTGATTGTTGAAATTATTGACTGCTTGTTCAGGCCCCTGCCTGGGGGAGATCAGGGAGGAGGGACGAGGGGTTGGAGAACTAGGACTGTCGTTACTCCTATTACACTACAGCCATAAGATTCCAATAATGTACCCGTGTCTCCCTGTACTTGAGTTCGTGTCAAACAACTGCAGTTTTGTTTTTTGCCCAGGGACACAAATTGATCTGTATTAAAGTTGAACATATTAACAATATCATTCGCTATCATAACTTGGTATCTTAACTGTTTTTGTCAAAACTCACTTAGCTTAATACATTCATTTAAATGAGACCTCTAAATTATCCATTTGACTTGCTAACATCAGATACTATTTCATATTTTTTACATTTTTACACGCTTCTTTGCTTAAAAATAATTCTTTTCGTTTGTGTAATAATTATTTTCGTTCCTTTTTTAGTAACTATATTGTATATTTACTGTAGACATTTTTTCCCTTAATCTTTGACTAATCCCCCCGAATGTATCAATTTATTCTAACATACTTTTTATTTTTTCCGCACTAGATTATAATTTTGTCCCTTACTCATATATTCGTTATATTTATTGTCATTTTTTAAAACCAGTTATCATAAATATAAAAGAGTTGTTAGATTGGAATAACTCACTAAACAGACATTGATAAAACCTTTCTTAAATAATTGTTTTATTATCTTGCTCTTAATCTAAATATAAATCTAAAATCTGTCCGTACCTGCATTCGCTGTAGCACCAAGTCCGCTAGATGACGGCGGTCCTCCTCTTGCGAGTCACCCATGAAGGAGGTGGCGGAGTCGTTGAGCTCGATGATGTGCTCCCGCCCATCTTTACCCACCACCAATTCCAGAGCACACACTTCTAACCCGCCAAATATTTCGCTGACCTATTAAATTCGTTTATAATAAAGACACATTAATCTTTTTGTGTGACTTATTTTTGTTTAATCTTAGAAAAGCTAAATTATTGTTACTGGATTCTAGCTTTATTATACTAGCTTTACCTACCCATTTGAATTGTGGTTGAAAATAAACATATTTTAACTAAATCTGCACATGAAGTGTGTCGTCTATCTATAGTCAGGACAAAGTGGAGTTCAAAGAATATTCGCGCTGGAATTCCTATCATAACTAAAGGTATCATAATAATTTAGTTATTTCAATATAAACAGAATTTAGAAATGAATTACCTCGTCTATCCACATTTTGTATCTGTCGTTCATGCCGATGGCTTCAAGGATAGCAGATCCCTGGTTAGTTTTCCAGTTTCCAGAAATAGATTTGCGCCTGTAAGCAAACAACCAACAACGAATCAGTGGTTTATCATAACGCCTTTTCTCAAGAATGGACTAAATCCTCAATTGCGTTTAACACATTAAAACATTTACAGGCGTCACTGAAATTATTTAAGTTGAATTGCTGATTGAGGTGGAGACCATTTTTTGCTAGAAACAAATTAACATTACTTGACCTGGTGCTAGAGTATAGGGATTGAATCGGTAATTTTTGCTGTCCATACGAATATACTCCAGAAAGGTGCTGGTTCGATTTTTCATTTGATTTCAAAATTTAGCATTGAATTAGTTTATTTAAGCATATGATATATGTATTTATCGGTGAAGTATTTGTTTTTGGCCGCATGCGGACTAGCTGTCAATATGTCACTATTATTTACGGACAAAAAATTTAATGTTAGATGTGTGATGATTTTGGTTTCATTTTTAGTTTCTGGAAGTCAGATCCGATCAGATCTTTTTTAAATTGATATGGGACCAACTCGTCAAAAAACTGATTCAAACAAAAAAAAACCCATCAAAATCTGTCCACTTACCTCGGAAGTATGCGCGAACAACTATAAAAAAATATACTGACGAATTACGAATTTAGAACTTTTTACTTTACCTTTTACCGCCTTATTACAAAACCTAGACTAAAGTTAAACCTAGATTAAAATTGATGCTGTCACTTTTGTTTGCTGCAAAGAAAGGTACAACATTAGGTTTAAACCAAGACTAACTTTAGTCCGCGTTTTGGAATAAGGGTGTTAAAGTTTAGAACTGCAATGTGATAAGTGATAATCCAATTTATTTTATGCTATTGCCATAATTTATAATAGGTATGTAAATCAATGCCAAATAACAGCTCTATAGTACGTTATAATCAAATAATATCTGATCTAATGAGCTAAAGCTGTGGACAGACTGACATATTATGTATTCATATGCGGAATTATTATGTTTTTTCACTGCCAATGTAATGTTAACTCAAGCTTATTTAACTGAGTCGCACATTCAAATAAAAATATGTAGGCTTTATGTTTAACTTATCACCAACATCATATTATTATATTATATTATTTTTTATTTTATTTATCTGTTTTATTGTGTGTGTACTAAATTAGCAAATCTATATATATATATATATATATATATATATATATATATATATATATATATATATTATATATGAAACACAAAGGTGACTGACTGACTGACATAGTGATCTATCAACGCACAGCCCAAACCACTGGACGGATCGGGCTGAAATTTGGCATGCAGGTAGATGTTATGACGTAGGCATCCGCTAAGAAAGGATTTTGATCAATTCTACCCCCAAGGGGATAAAATAGGGAATGAAAGTTTGTATGAAACTTTGTCAATTTTAAACCGATCGGGCTTAGACTTTGCATGCAGGTATAAGAAGAATCATAGATGAATGTCATTGTGTATAATACAAGCCTGAGAACAAAAACTGTAGTCTACACTTCATCTCTACACCGAAGCGAAGCGAGGGTGGGCCGCTAGTTTTTAAATAAAATACTGAACACGATATGTTTTTATTATTCTCTGATGGCAATCTTGCGTCTAAATAGTCTTTTGAATAGGAGCTACTGGATGGTTCACGTAACATCCCTTCTTAATGACTGACGCGTATTTTTTTTCCTAGGTTCTGCCCCTTTGTAATCCCCATTCCGACACCATGCAAACCGGCAAATTAATATATTTCCGTCATCAAAAACGTTGCGTGAACCCTCCCCCAGTAGCTTCAATTCAAGAGCCTGACGATTTGGACGCAGCCAAGAGTCATGGCTGTTTAGTACTTCATAATGTGCAAAGTTGCTCTCCTTATGTTATCCTGCCACGCTCGAGTAAATTCTGAAATCTCCCTATAGGCTCCCCTTATATTATTTACCTTTAAATAAAATACTCCTCTTGATGATAACACCAACTCAGACAGTGTTGTAATTTTGAATAAATTATTAAGAGGCTACAAAAGACTAATGAAAATCATTTGGAAAAGTTGTTACTTTGATAGTTACGTACTCGTACAGTAGCAATTTATCTCTGGGACTAGGATTAAGCAGAGGATTCCACTCGAGTTCAAGCTCTAATACCCGTACGGGAAACCTAGCAGCTGTTGCATTCTATGTTTTTCTTACGATTCCAGTGTCGCATTGGATATTTTTTTAGCTAATGTAGATAAAGACTTACATGAACGCTTTGTAGTTAGTTCCAATTTTCTGTATATGTATATCGTATTTGGCATCAATGTAAGGCTCCACTGTACAGTAAGTACCCAACATTGCTACCACTCCTGCGATATCCTGAAAATATAAAAATATACTTACTTAATTTTATTCACATTAGGGTTCATATAGAAAGTTTAAATATTCCTATGATCTATCATGTCAAAAAATAAAACGAGCAATGATTGATTAAATCCTTCCTATCGTGTAAACTTAAGAGCCGTCAGAGTTAAGTTTCATTAAAAAATTACCAGCATTGAACAATTATTGTAAAGAATACAAATTGGTACCTTTTCACAGTTTGTTAATCATATCAATCAATCGTGGAATTATCTCAACTGCTTCTATGTCGCAAAGGACTTAAAAAAAGGCTAGCTGTACTTATTTCTTCCCTTTCGAGTATACAAAAAAGCTCTACCCGAGAAACTTATCACTTTTGTGAAAAGCTTAGTCCAACTGGAATTAATTTATTGGAAGAATTATTTATGAACAGCCTTGTGGAGCATGACTGAAACTTCATCATGCTTATTACGTAACTTCAAATTTGCTGGTTAAATCATATTACGTCTGGAAACTAACATGAACTTTATAAATGTTTAGAAATAGAACAAGTTTATTATTTAACAGACACCTGTGCTGGGTTACAACAAAGTTTGTTTTTGTTCTATTGCGAGGAGCCAACGTCAATGGTGATTTATGCTTCGTGTGTCGACAATACCTAATGATACAAAACAGATTTTCTGTTAAATAGACTGACACCAGGTAAGCTTACAGCATAGTTAATATGTGATTCTGAGATTCATTTGTTCCGGCATGGAACTTAGTTCCGATTTTCAATTTGAAGTTAGAGGTGCAAACGTTTTAGGGTATATACATTCGTTAAAGTGGAAAGTAGTATGGACAGTATGGAATGTTATAGATTTTCTCTTTTTAAGCCCTTGAAATGGAAGTTCTGATGGATTCTTTTTGTTTCAGGATTATAGGCTCTTCTAGCCTCAAGATTTTTTTTGAGTCTAGAGGGGCCTATAATCCTACTTACAACTAATTGTAAGTTAATTGTCATTGTTTTCATTATTTTTCATAATAAATTCTCCTATTATTTCAAAACCTTTTTTTGTTTTTGAGATTTCGTTATCCTATTTTTTGATTAAACGGATTTGGAGCCCGGAAAGATTTTGATGTTTCGGGTATCCTTAGGATCCATACTTCTTCTTTGTAACTTCAAGTTTGTACAAACAATTAAACTTGAAGAATAACATAAGAAATAAAAAAACTTGATGATTTGATTTTGAAAAGCATGGAAGAAGTAGCACGCAATAGACCGTTTTTTTTACATATTTTAAATCGTCTGATTATTTCGAAATCATTAACATACTTTGTTCATTGATATTCGCTATAAACAGTGCCGTCTTCGACCTATTGGAGGCCTGGGTATATTATGATAATGGGGCCCCTATGAACTAGGGACTTTGAATTTGATCTGAGGGGCAGGGGCAAGTGCCCAGGGCCCCGCGATCAATAGGGGCCCTATTGATCGCGGGGCCCTGGGCACTTGCCCAAAGTGCTCACTGGGAAAGACGGGTCTGGCTACAAATTATTATTTTACCCTCTAATTTCCAATAATAGAAGCTAGTATTATCCCGTGCCTCTGTTGTCGCAAATAGGACGTCTATGACCTTTAGTTATTTTAATAGTTATAATATCTTCTCGGTAATTCGTTTGTGTTACAAGTAGATACGTACCTGGAAGTCAGCGGGTGTGTCCACTTTCACTTTGGCCACTCCGCTGTGAGCGTGTCCTATCTTGATCACTACGGGGAACTTCGGGGCGGTCACCTGCAACAATGACGAGTCAGCGGTTTATAGGTTGCTTTACGAATTACTTATATAGTCATTATCATAACCCTGTTCATAATTAAGATCATACTTATAATAATAAATTTTTGTAATTTAACAAAAACCATAATTTTCTCTGACTTGTGAGAATATTTTGATGTAAATATTTGCAGTAGTCATAGATTAATTTTATTCAATAAGTCAATCTAGATTTATACCGGGTTCACATGAGGCGATTTAAATTGATAAACTTTTATTGTCCAATTGCTTTCCTTCTTCAGTCTACATGCGATTTAGCAGTTGATAAATTAAAATCGCTTTTTGTGAGCCCCGTATTAAACGAATCTTTTAATTTCAACATAAATAGTAATCAATAAGTATAGCATAGCGAAATCCTTGGTCTTAGGAAGCAATGGTAATTAGGAAATAATTGTAATCCATAAACGTAAATAACTGCCCATATGAGTAAATTTTTATATATGTAGATTTAAATGTTGATGAGATTTTAGATATGACACACCTTTGTATTAAGATGAGTGCAAACATACATAATAGTATATATTACCCGTTAAAATAATAATAGCTTAAGTAGTAAAATAATAACTTAAAGTCCAGATTCGAAAATAAAGGTATTTTTAATTAGGAACGGGAACGTGTACCTAATTACAGGTAAGTGAAAATAACAATTATGGTAACGGTGACGAGCTGTTAAATTCATAGAATTAATCAACGGCCTTTGATTTTTTCTACGCTAGTGATAGAAATCTAAATGGTGTTAATACATGAACCGTTTCATGCGGCTATTACTACTCCCTACTAACTAATATTAGTTTTAAACCTGTTATTATTTTTATAAAATTATCTTTGATGAAAAATATGAATAAACTGGGCAAAAACAAACATCTAAATCAGCAGTCGTAATAGTAGCGCACCCTGGTTTTTTTTCCCCGTAATCGAAAAAAGAGTTTCAGATTCTCGAATGCAACTAGTTGAAAAATTTTTTGTACGAATTTTAATACATCAAGCAATGATAATAATTCAAGTGCATGACATAAAAAATAACATTCGGGACTTGCATAACGTAAGGCCATATCCTTCAAAATCCTTTAAGATCATCGAAAATGCAAAACTGCTTAAGATGAGTAGTTTTTCACAGACACACTATACCCTCATAAACCTAAATCTCTACGAGTACCTAGATGGGTTTTCCAAGAAAAAAATGCAACCAATGGTAAATGTGGCGTAAGTACCTGTACTTACGTAGCTCGTTTCCATACAGGTACATGTACTTACTTATGTAACTCGTTACCATACAGGTAAAGGTACTTACGCCACATTTACCAGTAGTTGCAATTTTTTTTGGAAACCTTATCTAGGTACTTGTACGACAACAGTTTGGTTGATTCTTCTGGAGAGATTATTTATTTAATATTGGTCCTAGAGTTACACAAAAGTAAATATTGTATGTTGCGGTCATCCCTAGGGCACAGGAAGCAATTCATGTAAAGGTTAATAAAACATTGTTTACTTTTACCTTTGTTGACATTGTACAATATATGATGAAAGTGTTTTCAGAAACATAATTCAAACAATTGATTTTTATGCTCATTAAAATAAGACACTTTATTGTTTGATAGGACCTGTCAATTTAAAACAAAGGAACAGGTTCTTAGGGTTCCGTCCAGAGTAAAAACGTAACCCTATTGTTGTCACTCTGTCTGTCTGTCCGTATGTCATGGGTCTCTAGATCGTAAACAGAATGAGTAAAAAAACAGAATTTTTGTTATTTTATGTAGAAGGCTTGCCCAATGCCGAATTAACATTCAAAGAAAATTTCATTTTTCTTTTTTAACCCCAGCATGTGACACATCATTGTCCAGAACTCGTTGAGTAGGATATAAATATAATTTTTTTTTCGTAGTTATGACAACTACGAAAAAAATAGATATTTTGGTAGTGTACCTAATTTCGTATATTTTATTTCGTATATCTACCTCAAAATCGAAACTAGTTACGAATGTTAATTTCGGTATACGATGTCCTGTATGCTATATTTAAATAAAAAAATAATGCAAACGCCAACAAACAAATGATTTTTTCTTAGGCGGTTCGTTGTGATGTCTAGCTTGGAAACGAAAGTCAGTGAGAGAAATATATAGCTTCGAACTTCGAACGAAAGTGATATATAGCTTGAATATCAGGATTGTATGGAATCCTAACTGAGTGAGGCCAGACTCGCGCTTAGCCAGTTTTTTTTATCTTTCTAAAGATAAGCAGGAAAGAGATATCTCATCAGTTTTATATGCAAAGGAGTTTCTTGATAAATATTAACTGACTGTTAATAAATACATAAAGCAATGATTAAATTTATGTTTATGTTAATTTTGTTTAGTCTTTGTTCGCTATATTTTCTTTACAGTTTGTACTTTCTAAGTACGGTGATAAAAACCCTTATCCACGTTTATTTACAATCACAGAGTATCATTATACACAAAAATAAATCATTTGTATCTTTATTTTTTTGTGACTATATTCAGCTGTTTCTGCGAGAATAAGTTATAAGCAAAAACTTAAGAATTGAGAATGTGTAAATATGATAGGAAGATGGTCATTTAATGTATAAAAGTATTTCTCACTTAGATAAATGATTGGTCTCCCATCGGTCGACCACAAAGAAACCAATCATTTATCTATGATTTGTTATGCAAATGTATGGTGCGTGTTGTTTATCGCTTTATCGAGGTTTAATCAGAGAAAAGTAAGTAAGTTCACTTCAAATTTGTCCGACATTTTTTTTCATTTCCATTTGAATAGTATCAAAACGAATAGAACTATGCAAGTATGAGTAACAACAAACAAACGGCAATAAAGTTACAATCATAACGTTCATTCCAATGCTATTTCTACGAAATATCATGACGCCTATTCGTGGAAACATTGAAAGAAATATTGGCATTGATTCAATAAACAATCGATTTCTAAAAGTGGACTTCTTATATCAATTCGATTTACCTATGGCAATGAATAAACTTCGAAAGTGATAGTAAAGTTGGAGAATTACGACGTTGTATGTAAATGCGAACATCACTCGAATCGACGTATTTTTACCCGACTACGCAGTGCAAGAGCGCGAAGCGTGACGCGCAGGCAGGGTATTGTGTTTAACAGTCTATATATGTATGTACGTTCCTTTCTGGCACACTAGAGACCAAACGCCTGCAC